CATACCACGTGTGATCCAGTGTAGCGCCCCTGGACGTCCCCCTTGAGCCTCACCAGAGGATAGTCAGATTTGCATCTCGGGATGCTCTCGAGCAGAAAAGCTTTGCAGTTGGCTTTCATCTTGGCTGGGAAGTCGACAGTAGTACCCTTTGGCAATGGCTGCTGCCTCAAGAGGAGCCTGTGCCATCTCCCTCGAGGCTGTCAAGGAGGCTAACTTTGTCGTAAGTGAGTACTATATCTCCTTAGTAAAGATGCTCAAGTGTAATTGGTTTCTTTTTCCATATATGGTTTTTTTTGGTTTGCTTAAGCAAACCTATAGGGACTAGGATGAATATACTTAAAATATACTTGGATATTTTAGGATATTCTATCATCCAATGGTGGTTATTCATTTAGATTAATTTCGTATTTATAATTTATAAACATGTTTATAATTTATAAACTTTTCTAACCACTTTGTATCATCATGAGCATATGTGGTTTTTGGAGCATGAGCCAAAGAAACTATGCAAAGTACAGTGTATTGGTTGGGCTCTATGTCCAGAATGGCAATTGCAAGGGAGCTCTCAAAGTTCCACTGCCAAGGCCCTCAATCAAGGCTCCGCCATGAAGCAAAGAATCTGGAGGCAAGACTGGATGGACGAAGCGGCCAATGATCCACATGAAGGGAAGAATGAAAAAGAGGAGTGCTCATAGAGGCCTCCCAGCCTCAATTGTGACAAGCATGAAGTATTGAAACCAGCTCAGGAATTTGAGTAGTGCCCCCTCGAGATCATTCATGATGCTATTGTCGTTCCCGGCCACTGCATTGTCCACTGGCTCCAATGGATTGCTCTTGTCTCTGGGAAGCATCAAGAAAAATCATATTTGGACTAGTGAATTGATTGAAAATTGGCTCTCCCTGGAGGTTTGAGCTGAGAGCCACAATCCAGGATCAGAAACCCACTATGGCAGTACTGATTGATTGCCCAGAATCAATCAATCAACCTGGAATGCATATATGGATGGAGCTTAGATCTTCCTCTGTATGGCTCCCTATTATGTGAGTGGGCAGTGGGTAGAAAACAAAGATCAGTGGAGGACAATCTTTCTATTCCTATTCATTCCTCTTTTCTAAAGCGACGGATGGAGGGAGATTGTAGCAGCTGAGGAGTAGAGTCAGGCTGCTTCTAGCTTCAGCTTGGACGATGATGAGAAGTATCTGGCAAGGATGTTTATAAATGAGGAGAGTCAATGCACGAAAAGGTTGAAAAGGTTCAGAAGGTTTGTCACCTATGGAATTGGTTTATTGTCTACCGTAACCCTAAGTTTGGCAAGTTGACAGATTTTAATTTTTAGCTCAAATTTTTATTCTTTTTTGTTTTCGATTCTTCAAAGTGAAGTTTAGTTTATTTTTGGATCTTTTTACTAGTATAAATTAACTAGAGGTAATTCTGTTTAATCAATGACATAGATATGTCAGATTTGGATTGTGCTATGGATATTGTTCAGTCGTCACCCGCTGAGGATTTGTCTACAGAAACAAATTCTTATGAAGGTTTGGTTTTTCTCTTTATTCCTTAGTATTTCTTGATTTATTTCTTTTTGGTTTTGTAGTTTCACAAGCAAAGAGGACAAAGTTGACCATCCTAAAAGCCACTATTGCATCACTTGTCTTTGAAAAAGCAAATTCAACCAAAATTCTTGAGCTGAAGATTTTATCTACGTATGGTTTTGAAATCGTTTTTTTTTCTGTAGTTTTGATTTGCTTTTTGCCTGCAAAGAACACTCTGCAAAGTGCAAATTACTTAACTTATATAATGGATTGTACAGATATGCATGGCTTGCAAACTTTAACTATATATGGCAATTCATCCATGTGTGCATGATTATAAAATAAATTTATGGCTGGTAAATGTTTCTCACTTACAAGGTTTATAATTTATTTTTTAAAAAAATTAACAAGATTATAATTCTCTCACTTTAGATGGGTTGAACTACAGAAAAACCCAGTTTACCACCATGGAACTTTAGAAAAAGTTCTTTATATTACAGATTCTTCTATGATTCAAATTAAAGATGATTTTGATGTTAAATTAAGATTACAACCAACTAGAGGAGCTTCTATATCATCTTTAATGGCTACTAGAGTTTATCCACAAGCTATACATGCTGTTGTAATCAACATTGGTGTTTTTCCTAAAATAAAGATTGCTTCTTCTAATAATCCTTTGGATGTAACTATGGTAATGTTTTTTTCTATTTAATTTTCTATTTCTAAGATATTTTCACAACTCTACATGCATCTGGAGCATGAAGAGCAATATCATCATATTGTAACAGATTTATATGCTGGATATATGCCAAAGTTTTTATTTTTTAATATTATGAAAAGCATGAGTGTATCAGGTGATTTAGCAACACTTGGAAGTACTTTATTTTTGCCACTAGTTGATTCAAATGAAATTCAGAAGCTCAATGGTTCATTACCTTTAGTTGTTGATGGAATTGGCCCCCACAAGATGATTTCTTAGATTGTTATAAACATCCTAGCGTTATTAGCAAAGTTGGTTCCTTGCTGTTTTGTCTTTCATGTCAAGCTCATTGAATAGTCCAGGTTGGAACAAATATCCAAGAGCTATGGAACTAGCAGATGCTAGCCAGAAAGCAAGACTAAAGAGCAATTATGGCAAAAAAGACAATGCCTGTGTCAAGGAGGTGAAGAAAGTGTACAATGACTAAGGCCTTGCAATGAGTATTTTTCTTAGGTACTTCTCTCTTTAGCTACTGGTTAATGTAGGTAACTTTCCTAGAGTATGAACAAACAAGCTATAGGAGAATTTTGTGTACTATTGATCAAGAAAAGAGTACTCACTTACAAGTTTGTGGTGTTTTGGAGTTTATTACTTTCTGAATATAGTTTGATTACCTTGCAAGGAGTTCTATTGTTCTTTCTAGAAAAACATTGCAAGTGCCAAAAGAAGGAGTGTTTCTTTCGCTGCTCCTTGTTTTTGCCAACTATATGAGTTTGTCATTTTGTTTCATCATTAGTATTGTTATATGTGGAGCATTGACGATGATTTAGCTCTAAATATTCTTCACTTTTCTCGTGCTAAATGTGTCCCCATCAAATCCAACAAAAGCTGCATATATTTGCTCATTTGAGGTCTTCTAAATTTTTATTATGACACTTTTGGCCATCACAGGGATCAGGTATTTTGGAATATACATACTAACTTCTTGTTCCAGCTATCTTGTTATCATAGGTCATTGATTGAGATCTTCTTGTTTCATCATGATGTGAGAATTTGTGCTTGTCAGTAAAGTGTTTCCTTTACTTTGAAAATAATCCTACAGCTCAGGAAGGAGCTTCACATCCTCATTCATGGCTGTCCACAAGTTCCAGGTGAGTGTTCAGCTATGAATCTTTAGCTTCCTCTCAGCCGATGATGGGCTGTGCTATATCACCCCAGATGTTAAGTAGGCCATGGATTCCAAGTCCCTCGCCAAGGATTTCAAGTCCCTGGGCTCAACAGCCAGCGCTGGACATTGGCAACAATCCAGTATGAAGCATCAAGCTCTTACTCGGTGATCTTGATCCTGACTGGGGGAACTTTTTTTGATCCAGCATCATCCTCCCCTGATTAGGCAGTTGGCTCATTGTTGTAGAATGTGCCCGACACAAACAAGATCATCCATTACTAAATGAGCTCGACTTAGTTTTAAGTTATTGCATTAATTTGCTATACAACTTAAATTTTTGTCATTAAGCTTTCCATTGATATTGTAACAACAATTTAAGACATAATAGTTTTATAAATTTAAGTTAAAATATGCAGTTATTTTTAGTAGTCATTATTTCTGACTAGCTTTAAAGTCAGAATTAAAAAATTTCTTAAGCTGACATTTGCAGTTGCAATTTATGACTAAATTTTAAGTCATTTATAATGGTTATAAAACAAAAAATATAGTCGTTATGTTTAGTAGTTAATTGTGACTAAATTTTAAGTCAATTATAATAGTTATAAACCAAAAAATATGTAGTACGACTAAATTTTAAGTCCAAAAATGAAGCTATAAATATAGTGGTAATTTAAGTCTATGATCAAATATTAAACATCAATTTCTTTAGCCCCAGGCATACCTGATCCATGTGCCCATTAAAGAGTGATTCCGAGAATCACCATCAAAGCAAAACTATAAAAACCATTGCTATGGGCTGTCTCTCTTTTGTGTGTGTCGATAAGGTCACAATACACGATCTTTGACGCCTAAAACGCAATGAAAAGAATTTTCAAAGAACATAAGCTTCCAGAGTGGACGCACGGAGCATTGCATCGTGGTGAACGACCATTCTCATCTTTGCTCTTCCTCCTAGAATTGAGCCTGAGAGTTTCTCAACGAGCTCCGGTTTTTTTGGGGGAAGAACCAAATGAGCACTATGTGCTAATGAAAGAAAGAGATTCCGAACAGTGATATTGCTTCCATCATGATCGCAAAAACTGGACATCATAACTTTAAAGCGCTGCAGATAATGCGTCCGTACGAGAATCATTTATATGCACTAAACCTTCATGACCTAAAAAAAAGGTTTCTCGGAAGCGAATCCGGTAAGCAAGAAATATGGCTAGCATCATCCGTCGGAGTGTGCCGCCGTCGTCTCCACCTCGTCGGGCGGCGCACAGGAGCGTGCATCCGCCTCGTCCAGGGCACAGGAGCACGACACCGCCCAAAACGAGAGTGCCACCTCCAGGTAGCATGCCGCCCCCCAAACCATCGCCAAGGAGGGCGAGAGGAGCTCCGCCACCTCACAGCAGCGCCCACAGTCAGGCACCTCCACCAGCACCAGCAGAGCAACACCATGGAGCAGCAAAGCAGCACAGCCATGGAAGAGCACCACCTCCAAAGCAGGACAGCCATGGAGCACCACCACCTCCACCAACAAGCCATGGAGCAGCAAAGAAGCACCAGCACAGTCCGCCACCAACAAGCCACGGAGCAGCAAAGCAGCACCAGCACAGTCCGCCACCGCCACCAGCAAGCCACGGAGCAGCAAAGCAGCACAGCCACGGAGGAGGAGCAAAGCAGCACCCACCTCCACCAGCAAAGCAGCATACAGGGCCGCCACCTTCTTCCGGGACAACCACTTGGCGACCAAGGAGGTTTGGGCCGCCGCCACCTCCACCAGCAAAGGAGCATACAGGGCCGCCACCTTCTTCTGGGACAACCACTTGGTGGCCAAGGCCCGCTCATGACACGATAACATGGCAACCAGGGTCGCCTGTCTTTCACACGTTTTCATCGCCGCCTCCGCCTGGCCCCTTGTCTATTGCTCCGCCTCTGGGGTCGTCATCATCAACAGCAGCAGCAGCAGCGGCAGCGTTTGCAACACCGGGGCTGCTTGTGGCAGGCATCGTCCTTTTCCTGCTTGCTATGGTGGCCATCATCACCGGCATCTGGATACTCGTGAAGGGAAGAAGAAAGAAGGCGAACGACATCCTGGTGCGCTACGTCGGGAGCAGCCATCTTCCTGGCGGTGGCAGCAGCAGCAGCGGCAGTCAGCGAGAGTATCTCGTTCCCTTGAGCAAGATTGAGGACGCAGAGCTCCGGGACAAGCTCAATTCCTTCGTTCAAGAGAGGAGCAAGCAGCACCTTCGACCGTCGCAGCTAAATCCCAGCACAAAGGTGGCCAGTCCTCCACTCGCGAGGCCTCCAAGGCGGCTGCCACCTTCGGCTTTTCTCAAGATGAATCCAATCTATGGTGCTGCTACCGATTCGGTTGACGACCGCCTGACGCCGCCATTGGGACGAGATCCACCAGCAGCGATCCACGGAGTCGACGAGCACAAGAAGGTGCCAAGAGCTTCTCTCCCGGAGGATCCATTCTTGTCGAGTGCTGCTCGTCGGAGCGGCAATGATCGAAGAGCCCAGGAACAGGCTTTGGATCCAGTGTCTCATCGTGGCACTGTGTTCGATCCTGGAGATGCTTTCGTTGTTCGGCTTGCGGCAGCAGCGGAGAAGCGAGCTGAGATGGAGAAGCACATGCAAAGGATCACCGGGTTTGGGATGAGGAGGCCCGGCAACAAGCACTCCCACAGGTAAGTCTTCATGCTTGAGAGATAGAACAAGTGACCAATGGAGCACTTTTAGGATCCGTGAGGTGGAGAATCTGGAGAAGCCCGTGGTTGAGGCAAATCACTCGGCCAATTCTGGAGGTTCGCATTTGGCTGCTTGTGTACACGACTCAGATGCCAAGGTAAACAGTCTCCATGCCTCGAGTTAAAGTATAACTTCTGCTTGAACTAGCCTTCCACCTTGGAGGTTAAGCTTGAGCTTGACGGAGCTTAGAGCGAAAGGAGGTACGCTTTTCGGTCGTTTTGGACTGATGATACGCTTGAGGTTGCAGGCACAGAATGAAGATTCATGAAACAAATCACTTCGGTTTTTTTAAACCGCAACAGGCAAAGGCAGGTCCGTGGTATTGAATCAAAATTATAACAGATGGAGAAGTGTGGAGGCATTTGAATTAGGAGATTATGATTTGCAAGTCTCAAACAAGGCAACAAGACAACAACTTTTCATTAAGACAACAGAGAGATATTGAATTGGGAGATTATATTGCAAGTCTCAAAAAAACACTTTGGACATTTAATTTCCTGTTTTTAAAAATATAAACTTTCAATAACATTTCTTATCGTAAGTAGTAGTCATAGCAGTCAACGTTAGTCACTATTTCTTTACCAGCTTTATAAGCACATCAATGAATTCATTAGAATGAGCTCATTAGAACAGTAATGAGACAGCGTTGACTGATAGTAGTCAGCGTTAGTCCACTGTACTAACGAAAATTCGCAGCTCAAGTCACACCATGATAATCAATCAATCCATCATGGATAATGGATTGGAGGTCTTGAAAGCGAGGCTACTCTCAGCCACATTCTCTGTGAAACAGAACCTCAAACAAGGCAGGAGCTGCACGCTTAGCTTTCCACCCCCCATCTTGAGCTTGCCACTGCTGCTACTCTTGTTCACTCCTTGCGCCTTGGCATTGCTTGCGGGAGCCTGGGCTTTCCATGTTTCCGGGACACTAGCCGTGGTAGCTTTCTTCCACTTCTTCACATCCACCATTGCCTTTTCTTTCTTCTTCTTTTCTTCCTCTGGTTCCAGAGTCATTGCAACCTCGTCAAGCTCCTCTTCCTCGTCAAGAACAGAAGCACGTGTTCTTGATGTTGTCCTTGCCCTTGATCTTGTTATCTTCCAACTCCTTCAAGTGGAGAAGCTTCTGGCCGCCCGACCCCGTCCTGATGCCTATGAGCAGCTCCAGCAAAGTCCAGGAAAGTTTCCAGTTTCTTGAAGCCATACCACGCGTGATCCAGTGTAGTGCTCCTGGAAGTCCCCCTTGAGCCTCACCAGAGGATAGTCAGATTTGCATCTTGGGATGTTGTCAAGCAGAAAATCTTTTCAGTTGGCTCTCATCTTCGCTGGGAAGTTGACAGTAGTACCCTTTGGCAATGGCTGCTCCCTCCAGAGGAGCCTGTGCCATCTCCCTCGAGGCTGTCAAGGAGGCTATCTTTGTTGTGGAAGTGAGTACTATACTCCTTACTAAAGATGCTCAAGCTTAACCACAACACTAGTTTTCTTTCCATACATGGTTTTTTTTTAGTTTTTATATAGGTTTCAGGTAGCTATTACACAAATTTGCTATGTAGCAACATTTAATTTTCTTAATAGTAGTATTATTCTTACTTATTAATCCAAATGATTATAATTATAAACATATTTATAATTTATAAACACAAGATTAATCATATTGCATATCAACCATTAGATGGGAGAATAAAAAAGAATATACTAAAAAGTGTTTAAGAAAGTTTATAAATTATAAACAAGTTTATAATTATAAATACAAGATTAATCTAAATGAATAACAACCATTAGATGGTAGAATATCTTAGAATATCCAAGGATATTCTAAGTATATTCACTATCATTCCAGTCCCCCTTAAGCAAACCAAAAATGGTATGGTTCCAATAGTGGTATATAAAAGCTAAAAAATATAAGTAACTGAGATAAATTGTTTATACAAAAATATTTGATTATTTTTCTAATTTTAACATTTATTTTCAGATTAATGTTTGGCATAAATATAGTTGATTTTTATAAATGAAAATTTTAAAAAGTTTATTTACTTTTTACCACTTTTTTGTAACAATCTCCCACATATATGGTTTTTCAGCCATATATAACATTGATTCTTTCAAAGCATACTTGTAAAATTGGAATTGAAATAAAAAATTTTAGCACTACCATGATATAGTTATAAAATTAGTTTTCCATGTTGTTTCTAAGTCCTCACTTCATGAATTCATGATAGAAGTAGAAGAGATAAATAGTTCAATTTGCAATATATTTTGGTGTTGAGTTTATAAGCAACATCAGAAAAGTATAGAATATAGAAAGTTATAGGCACTTTATTTGTTTTCCTTTCTTTCATTTATTATTATGTTTACTCCACCAAACATATTTGGCTATTTAAGCTAGGCAAGGATTATTTACTCTTCTCTAAGGCTATAAAGTTTTGGAGAAAATCCAACTTGTGTCCTTACATATCTAACATATTAGTTGTGTTTACAGGTGTTTTTAATCTGATTTTAGTATTTTGTTGTTTACGTATGCAATATTATTATATATTGCTAAAATTTACCATTGCATCCACTATAATATTTACACAATTTTGAGATGTTGTAAGCTAAATATATTTAGCTTACAACATGTCAAAATTGCGTGGATATTATAAGGATGGTTATAAAAAAATATTTCTCCACAAATAGTAGTGACTCTAATGAGATTGAAAGGGCTATTTAGGGGATTTCATGACTACATTGCAAGTGTTTGTGTTGTCATTAGACTTCCTCAAGAAAATTGAGAGTGAGACATTTTAGAGCTTCAAGGCAAGAATAGAGGATGCAATCTAGACATAAAAAATTCTTGAAAAAATGGAAGAGCCAAAAGAGGAGCAAGTATGTGGCAAAAGGGGGGCTCATATAAAACAAAAGCACTTTATAGGAAAATAGCACTAGTTGCTCATAGTTGTAGAATTCACTTGCCAATAAAGCATACATAGTCGAGCAATAATCAATATAAATTTTGAGGGGCAAAACGTACTTAAAGCATTTTTAGAATCTCCTACCAATTTTACCTATGCATTAGGAACAATTAAAGGTATTCCCCAATTACCAAATAGCATACCAAGTTGATTAAGCAACCTTAAATTGGTTCTATTTATTTATAATGTTGATTCTTTTTAGGATGGCATTTCATGTCCTCGGCACTGAAGAAAGGTATCTAAATTTTATTTTATTTCTCAAAAACTAAACATTTTAAGAGATGTATTGGCATAAGTGTTGCACAAAGGCTATTCAAGACAAAGATGAGCTAATAGATAACCCACTCCCTAGTGTAAGTGATTTAATTTTTCATAATATTTTTCACCTATTAACTCTCAACATCTTTTGCTAGGATGAAGAAAATGAGGAAACTAATGAAAAGGTATCCTTTTCATAGTATTTATAATTATTTAACTGTTCTTTACGTAGGCTTGGAGTGAATCACATGGCAATTCATGTTTACTATATTTTCAATATCCTTTCTAGAACCTGAGGAGGGAGAAACTACCATACTATTCCAAAAAATGATAATAATTATGAGGAAATAAAGTATGAAATGATGAATAGTTTGATTCATTAGCTAGATATATAGATTAATATTGCCAATCTTATCTTACAAATAGAGGTGTACAAAAGGTAGTTTTTAGAGCTCTCAGAAGTGTGTTTTTCTATTAGAAGTGGATAAATTATAGAAATGTTTAGAAAATTAAATCAAGGTCTCTCAATGATTGACAATTTGGTGTTACTCAAGTCCAAAGATGAGCTCTCCCAGGATGAAATCAAGCAAGCATTTGCTCTTGGATGGTGTATTGAATGGGTAAGTTCTTGCATCAATTGGTAAAGATTTTCTAAACAATTTTGGTTTCTGCTTTTTGCTTTTCCATGCAAAGCTACAAGTTTACTTCCTAGTAATGGATGATATAATGGATGATTCATACAACAGTACGTGAATTTTATTGATGAGCTATGATACAATCTTCCTTTGTGATTAGGTGGGTATCATTGCTGTGAATAATGCATTATTGCTTATAAACCATGTACCTAAGATTTTGAGGAAGTATTTCCATAGTCAGTGGTACTACTTTGATCTCCATGAACTTTTCGATGAGGTGTGTTGATCTGATTACATTGCAAACCAGCCAGGAAGGTTGATTTGTCCAAATACATGATGGAAATGTAAGTTTTATTCGATTCCATAAATATCCATAATGTTTGTCTGTGCAACTATCTCAGGATTGTGAAGTTCAAGACAGTGTTTTATTCTTTCTATCTTCCGGTAAGCAAGAGTGACATTATAAATCAAGTCATTGAAGTCATATGAGAATACATGTTGCTTGTGTTTGGTATATGTCAGACAAGAGTGACAACTCCAAGTTTGAATCTGTGAAAAAAATACTACTACAACTGGGAACCTATTTTAAAATTCAGGTCCTTGTGGTTCATTACCTTTGGTTGTTGATGGAATTGGCCCCTGCAAGATGATTTCTTAGATTGTTATAAACATCCTAACGTTATTAGCAAGGTTGGTTCCTTGCTGTTTTGTCCTTCATATCAAGCTCATTGAATAGTCCAGGTTGGAACAAATATCCAAGAGCTATTGAACTAGCAGATGCTAGCCAGAAAGCAAGACTAAAGAGCAATTATGGCAAAAA